TGTTGCATCTGTTGAAGATCCTTATATAATAATTCATACATTAATGCGAGACCCGCAGTGACAAGTACGCGAATGAGAATCCCGTATACATTACAAACTTATTACGTCTTGAATACTCCAACGTGTACTTGATAACACATTACATAACATAGACCCAATGAAATTCATAATTAATGCAGTAATAAAACAGTAACTATGTGTAACTTAAGAAATGAATCTGACTTGAGTCAGTTAAGACTCAATCTTCTTATCAACCTTTTCTCACACTGTATGGAGTGAACCAATCGACGTGTTAAGCCATCGCTTTAACACAGCGTGGGCACTCTCCACCCTACACGAGGTTGTGTTACCAAACAAAATGTGTTACTATGTTCGTCCAGGATTTGACAAACTTTTCCTTGTGGACTAACCATGTGTGCTCCATATATTGTAACATTTTCTAAAACCTATTCTACCGACCATGCATTTCAACTACGACACTATGGTATTGATCCTTCGTTTCTGCTTCAACAACCTTTTTTCACTTGCCGTGCGCGAACTTCTGAGCGATTTCCCTATTTTTTCCAAGGAGCGATAGACTATGTCTTCCACATCCTTGTTGATGTGCCACGTACAAAATAAATAGGCAGATTCTGGAAAAATCCTCCGTACAAGAGACATTATACCCAACTCCCGGTCGGTGACAATGGCTGTAGGATGTACATCAGACCTTATCCGACATCTCAACATCTGTAGAACCCAGTGATAGTTGACTCACTCTCGTCCATAATTACATATGCATTTAAAAAGTTCTTGTCGCGCGACTTCACGGTAGCAATTTTCACCAACTGCATCTATACCTATGCAAATGAGAACAACAAGAATAAAAATAGAATCAAAAAACTTACTCAAACATAAACCCATTCTCTTATCACCCGGCCCATAAGAATAATGGGATCTTCAAACCTAATGAAAAATATAAAAGATTTTCAAAATACCTGCTCGAGCTCTGATTGAAACTCACATGGCACTTCTTCCATTACATCCTAAATTCGAATCATTCATTAATTACAGTATAGTGTTCAGATTTTAAGAAGGTTCCGATCAAATGAGCTTCTCAAAATTCAGTCTTTTGTTGTTCGTAGTCCTGTTTTCCGCTTCTGAATCGGTAGCGGAAGAGGAGAAAGTAGAAGAACCGAACGAGTCTTTTACAGAGGCGTTGCTGTTGAGGCCGCTGCCAGATCGCAAAGTGTTGGCTCATTTCCATTTCCAGAGCAGCGTGCCTCCGGCTCGAGCCTATGGCCGCCACCATTACATCTTCCCCAAATCCATTTATCAGCTGGCGAGTAACTTCTTTAATAAGCGACATACTGTATTCAGTCTTAATTGATTGATGTTGAGATATTGTTGTGAGCTACATTTGGTTAATTATGTTTTTTTTTTTTTTTTCATATTTCTGAAACGAATTGTTCATGTTATGGCCTATATTGTTTGGGATGATGTTGTGATGAATTATTGGGTTGTGCGAACATTTAGACTGTGTGAACGTGTTTATGCTTGAAAAACTCGGTGCCGAGAACTGGTGATCCGTGAGTTGATCAATTGTATGACTTGCTTAAAACTGGCATTCAAATATGCTGCTGTCTGCTTGGGGCACCAGTTGGCATGGGTCTTGAAATTTAACAATTAGTTCTTGATAATACTTGTTTTATTCGAAAAGCTATGTATTCCGACTTGCAAGAATGTAAGATATGTAGCCACTGAGTGACTTTTGGTTTCACACCAATAGTTATTTGATAGCTAGTCTTCAAAGTTCTTGAGCAACTGCTTTGGAAATTTTTCTTCCTTTGTTGCATTAATTTCATATGGATCGCGTTATGTTTCTTTTAAGCATTATACTACATGTCGGATTAATAGAATCTTTCCATTGCTGGTTTCCCTAACTTCAACCAACTCAATACTGGAATCGACTGTCTTATTTGCTGCAATTTTGATATTCAGGTAAAAAAATTTCAAATTCGAGAGATGGAGCTTTCGTTCACGCAAGGCCGCTGGAATTATGAAAGGTGGGGAGGGTTTGATCCGATCTCAAACAGCAATGCAAAGCCTCCAGGAGTTGAATTGTGGGCTGATTTTGATGTTCCTAAAGACCAGGTCGATAATTCGTGGAAGAACCTCACCCATGCTCTTTCAGGCCTCTTTTGTGCCTCGATCAATTTCTTGGACCACTCGACCAGTTACTCTTCACCTCAGTGGAGCTTCCGTCCCGTCTCGGGCAAATTACGTTACGGCACTTTGCCTCGCGAAGCCGTTTGCACTGAAAATCTCACGCCGTGGCTGAAGTTGCTTCCTTGCAGGGACAAGGCTGGGCTTTCTTCACTCATGGACCGGCCCTCCATTTACAGAGGGTATTATCATTCACAAAGGCTGCATTTGAGGTCGGATGAGTTCGATATGTCTGAGATGAATACAGGGATAGTGCTCGTGCAAACCCTTACAATTGTCCTTCAACCAAACACAGTTTCGGGAAAAATATCACAGCAGCCGAACTGGTCACTCGGCTCGTTATTCGGCAGGAGAGTTAGTGGAAAATGCTCTCTTTCTGATTTTAGTAATGTGTACGTCCAATTTGACAAGAGTTTAGTGTCCGGACAGGTTTCCCCTCATGAGGACTCTGAGAAAAACCCACTGTTTGAACTTTCACTTCCACCCAAAAGGGTTATAAAAGAAATGGGAGATATGCAGAAAGGGGGATCTGTTCTGTATGAATTTTCGGTATTGGACTTCACTGAACCTGAGCCGTTAGATTTGGGGTTAAAGTGGAAGGTGCCTGTCGTCTGGTCATGCGAGCAAGCACCTCTACGGGCTAGTAGGTTTCTATTGGGGAGCGGAAATGAGAGGGGTTCTATAGCCATCTCGATGAAATCCACTGGGAGGAACAATGTAGAGAGAGGTAGCTATGACGAGAGAGAATGTTGGCTGAGAGTTGGCATTTTCCAGGTGGTTCCTTGGTATGTGAAGGTGTATTATCACACTCTGGAATTGTTCTTAGATGGGGAACCTCAATCTACTACGGATAACATAGAGCAAATACGCGTTTCACCTTCTGAAGACAAGGTCTCTCCTGGAGTAATGGAAATAGAGTTGAGATTGCCTTGTAGTGTTAACACTGCTGCATTGACTTTGGAGTTTGACAAGGTATGCTCCATATATATTCTCGGTTAGTATCTTCTGTAATAAATGCATATTAGCCATCATCTGCTGAAATAAAATTTTCCATTCTTTCTCTAACTATCTTGTTGCTAAGTACCATAATTTCGACGCTTTTGCTTAAATTGATGAGCAAACTATCTTCAGAATCTTGTTTATGCATCCGTATTATTAAGCATTACTTTAATTTCTAGTTGAATTGGTCCAACATTTTGATTTATGAAATGCAAATATGATATGTAAGTTTTATATCTTAAGATATAATTTGGTGCCATTTCTTTTTCTTTTTCCCGCTTTTGATTTGACTGAAAGAAACTTGCACTTATTTCCTTAGAAACATCAAACACATCCATCGTCACAAGCTCTGTAATCCAAACAGGTAAGTCCTCATTTTCCAGTAAACAGAAACATGGGACAAGGAAACATAGTTTGCAACTCATTGTGCTACCATATTTTCTGAGCTATGCACAATACAAATTGAAGTGCCTGGATCATTTTATATAAGCCTATTACTCTGATGCCCAGGTCTATAATGTAGCCTTTTTATTTCTCTAGTGTTAGGTACTACTTGAACCACCAATAGCAAATTTGCCGTGGAAAAATCTTTTCTGGTTGAACGTGTTTCAACTTTTAAAGCTCTTTAAGATGATTTGGTGTTTTTAAACAGGGGTTTCTTCACATAGACGAGTATCCTCCGGATGCCAATCAGGGGTTTGACATTCCATCAGCACTAGTACACTTTTCCGACTTCCAATCAAACATGAGTTTTGTTGATAATTTGTTAAACGAAGTACCCATATTGTCCAATCTACAGGTACTGAGGGAACAAGTGACCCCTATACCTCCATGATATCATGTTTTCTTTCATTTTATTATTTTTGTATTATTTTTCCCTGTTTAACTGTGTATAAATCATTCATTCATCTTCTTTTTAGAAAAGAACTCCGGTCCTCTCGTACACAGAAGTACTGCTCGTACCATTGACAACACCTGATTTTAGCATGCCTTATAACGTTATAACTATCACATGCACCGTTTTCGCACTATATTTTGGGTCCCTGCTTAATGCCCTTCGAAGGCGAGCCGGTGAGGAAGAAAGGCTTCGTACGGCAAAGGGTAAGACATCTTGTGGCATTCATTTTATTTTTTTGACCGACTTAGATATGCAAGCTTAACGAATGAAGATCATAAATTAAAACAGAAGCATGCAATTTTTTAATCTCAATCACTTGTTCAGTTGCTGCATTGGGTTGCATGAATACTATGGGAGGCGTAGGCTAGGGGAAAAAAAATTGTTCATGAATTTTATTCGTAGCTATATTATTTATCAACTCATTTTGTGCCTTGGTGGATTCGACCTTGTTGTCATTGGATGGTTTTTTCATCGTCAATCATATGCCAAAGATCCAAAGAGAAAAGAATGTTTGCACTTGGCTAGCCCAATTGGCACTTGATTTGGAAATATTGAAATAATGGCGTTGGAATAGAAGCCAATTTACTAGGACACAGACTATCGAAGTTTTTTGTGGAAGTATTTGTTTAGTGGCTCGAGATACCAAATTTGTTAGATATGGAAGCTATGCTAAAAAGAAGATGATTTTATTTATAGAAATTTTATTTTGAGTTGCTACAACTCGTTTTCTTTTTCTTGCTTTACTAACTTGATCATTTCAACTAACATAGCATCTATCTATACTAAGATAGCATCTATTTGTACTAAGACAGTGGATAAATCTAGATACATGATGTTGAAGAGATAGTCCAAAGATTAATAATATATAAGATGACTTTCAAATATCTTATTTATTCTATAAGAATCGACTTAATATTATCCTGCAATGGATCTACCCAAACACATGATAAAAATTGCAAATCAACTCATATCATTACACTCGCCCCTCCTTCTGCAGTGAACAACTTATCCTCCACAGTTTTATTTTTGCTAACCATCGTAAAAATTTGAAAAAAAAAATCACAATTTAAGCCATGAAACTCTTTCACATTTATTCAGAATTTGCAGATGAAACCACATGGCTAGTCAATTTGAGGAACTTGGGTAAAATGCTTTTGACCCTTTGAAAGTTAAATGTCATTCTTCTGCACATGCTCTTTCTTTTCCTCCTTCTCAAAGCTTAGATAATAGTTCCATTGAACGATGCCCGCCTTCATGTAGTCTCTCCACCTTATGCCTTAGAATCATCTGTATCCTGATATATTATTATTGTTGTTATTAATTATTTTTTTGATATTTTTCCTTGCAGCAAAGAGGACCGGAGCACTTTCCTTGATGCTAGCAAAATTGTCTGCCAAGTTTCAAGGAAAGAAATACGAACCACCAAAAGCACCATCATCTCCAAAATTCTCAACAAACTACAGGCTTATTGCCAAGGTAGTGCTTGTGGGTGGCATCGCTGCAGCATGGCAGTACTATTATTACCAATGACAACCCAAAGTAAGCTATTTTTTTTGTTTTTGTTGTAAGATACCATATCTTCAAGAATAGGCTGTTTCTAGGATGTAAACTTACTTTTTGCCCTGTTTTTCAGCTTGTGTTCATCTTTTTATACCTTTGAATTGCATTAGAGCAAATCCTAATCCCATCTATTTTCGTTTTATGTCTAATTCTGCACATTGAGCTGCTTTGGACAGTTGGTTTAAAAGTCCGGTTAACTTTTATTTATATTGTGCTAGTAAAGTGCACGTGCGATGCATGTAATTCATAATTTACAATATTTGATGATTTTATATTACATTTTTTTTTTATCTTTATAGTTTATCCATTTTTTTTTTTGTATTATTAGTTTTAATTAATCAATCAAAACAAGTCCATCAAATAAGGAATCAGGTCAAATATATCAACATTTAAAACATAACTTTCATATCTATACTATTATAAAAGAGCCTATGAATCTGTAAAAATATGATATCCCTAAATTAACCTTACTTTGTCATGTTTATAATGTCAATTTTGTAATTTACTACCCCCATTCTATACTAATATTTTTAATTAAACACATTTTAGATCTTGGGGTTTATGTATGTTGGTTTGGCCCATCAAAATTTCTCCCTTTTGAATATCTTGTCACTCCCCATTTTCACTTTTTGTCTGGAACTTTTACATTTATTTAAA